CCACACCTGCTGCTGGCGGTGCTGCTCTGGCCCTCATCCCACTGGGTCACCAGGTCCCTGTCGTCTCCCACCCTCTCACTCTGCATTGGCAGGTAGACCCGCCCCCTCTCATCAAGGCCTGCACGGCACACGGGCCTCTGCGAGTGTGTGGGGCCAACATGTGAAGAATGCCCTGCGTCCTGGTGGAGAGACGGGGGCTGCCTTTCACCGTTTTCCCACCTGCACTTTAGGACTGTTCTACAGTGAGCATGTGTCCCTTTCACACGAAGGAAAACAGACGTAAGGAAGAAAGTGTCTGTTGAAGGGATGGACCCCTGGATGGAGGCTGGCCTTCCCAGCGAAGGATACAATCCTTCCCCTTGAACAGCGTTTTCCCCGTCAGCATCTCCGCCATGATGCAGCCCACAGACCAGATGTCCACTGAGGGAGAAGCCCCCTCATCAGGGCTGTGGGCCGGGGTGGGGGAGGGATGCACAGTGGGGGACATGGGCACTGCTGGCTCCATCCCAGCTCAGCAGCCATGGGCGGGGGGCGGGGTCAGCTGAGGATCACCTCGGGGGCCCGGTACCAGCGCGTCACCACGTAGCCAGTCATCTCGGCGTCTGCGTGCCGCGCCAGCCCAAAATCCAAGATCTATGACTCGGGGGACACGGGGAAGGAGCTCGCTGAGGAGGGGAGCTCTTGGAGCAGCTTCGGGGGGCTTCCGCGGGAGAGGGGCCCACCCCAGCCCCAGCCGCCCTGCCTGGGCCACTCACCTTCAGCTCGCAGTCCTCGTTCACAGCGAGGTTGCCTGGCTTCAGGTCCTAGAGGAGAGGAGAGACCGAGCACCAGGCGAGAGGCAGATGGGAGCTGGTCCCGTCGCCAGGCCCAGCGAGCGACCACCCTGCAGGGCGTCGGCCTCCTCGTGTGTACACTGAGGCCAGCAGTTCCCGAAACACCAGCTCGGGCTGGCTTTGCTCACAGCGTTTCCCCCCGAAGGTCCCCAGAACACAGCCACTCTGCTGCCTGGCCTTCCTAGGCCAAGGCTGGGCCTGAAAACCCACATCCCACGTCCCGAGGGAGGCCCGTGCCCTCCTCCCCCTCCCCCCTCCCGGGCTGTGGAGAGTCCCTCGGGGTGGGCGGGAGCGTAGCGGACACAGCACTCACCCTGTGGATGACCCCAGCCGAGTGGATGTACTGTGTGGGGGAGAGAGAGAAGGCGGGTCCCGTGCGCTGCTTCACACCAGGCTCCTCAGCTCAGAAACCGTCCCGCCCCACAGGCCTGGCCTCCCCGCACCTCAGGTCTCGCCCCCTCGGCCACCCTCCAGCGCCCCCGCACCTTTAGACCCTTAAGCATCTGATACACCAGGTACTGGATCTTGTCCTCACTGAACTCCATGCCCATGATCTTCTGCAGGTCCGTCTGCATGAAAGGCATCACCAGGTAGCTGCAAGGCATGAGGGCTTCTGTACATGCCCAGTCTCACCCGGCCCAGGTCTGAGCTCAGAGGGGGGTGGGGAGGGGCTGGGGCAAAACAGGGGCCTTAGCGATGCCCTCCAAGTGTGAGCAGAACTGCCCAACCACAGCCAGCCAGATACCACCACCACCACCCCCGACCCCCCCACGGGCCTCCTGGCTCCCGGCTCCGTGCTGGCCGCTGGCTGCCCAGCTGGCAGAGCTCAGGGTGAGCGTCTCAGCTGGAGTGCGCTCAGGAAAACCAAAGGGAGCTGGGTTCCCTCTCTTCAAAGGTGCCCTCGCCTCGCCTCCTCCACGCCCCATAGAAGCCAGAGCTGTGCGTTAGAAACATCTCCCAATATTCCCCTCTGTTTCTGTCCAAATCGTCTCTCGCCTAGAGGGTCACGCCTGGCTGCGATGGCTCTAGGAACAACCAAAAAGTCTCCCTGCCAAGGAGGGAACAAGAAAACAATCCGCAGGAGGGCGGGAGAAGGAAGGAGGAGGTGGCTAGGCCCCTGCGCCCTCTTAAGGAATTGCAAAACAGACCGAGGTCAGCAAAATAACTGTTACTCACATAGTAACAGCAAAGCCCAGAACAAAAAATGATACAGATCGAAAAAGGAACATTGGGGGGGGGAGCCCACAAGATGTGGTGGAGGCCACCTGGTGAACCCGTGACTTTCTGCAGCTTCTACCCGACCACACCCTCCCTCCTGCTGGCCCTGCTCCTCACACCGCCCCTCCCTCCCGCCTTTGTCCTTCACTTCTGCGGAGACCCTGTTCTTTCTTCTCGGCCCACAAACTCGCTGAAGTCTCACTGTGCTGGAACTACCTTCCCTTGACCTTATTTCTTAAGTAACTGCCCCTTCTCTCTCTTTCTCTCCCCGCAAACTTCTAGAAAGAGGGGTCCACACCTCTCGACCCCTCTGCCTTCAATCCCAGGCCTCCAACAAGCTGCTGTCTGCTCTCGCTGCACCACCGAAGCTGCTCTGATCAAGGTCACTAATATGGACCCCCCCCTCCCGCTCCCTCCCTTCCTATTTGACCTCTTGCAAAGTCTGACTCCCCCTCAAGATTCTCTGCTGATCTGCTCGCCCTGATCAGGTGCTCTCAGCGCGTCACCTGCTCATCCTCTTGGGCCTCAGTGATGCTACCGTCATCAACAGCATCGTGCAGGCTCTGCACTGCCTGCCTGGCCTGGGCCTCGGCTCTCACCCCTGGGTGATTATTCCAACACAGATCCACGTTCCCAGCCCAGATGTATTTGCAGCTTCTGAGTAAACACTTGAATGTGCATAGGCTCTTCGAGAGTAAAGTGTCCCAGATGGAGTTCAGTACCTTTCTCCCACGATCTGTTCTTCCTCCCCCTTGTATGCCAAGCGGGAATGTGGCACGCCCTGACCTACGCCACCCTCCCAGCCGCTGCGTCCCAAGGGGCTCAGGTCTGCTCTCGGCATCCATCACCTCTACTCTATGTAGATCAAGGTCTGGGTCTTGAACTCTCCCCTCCAGTTCCCACCTCCCAGAGCTGGTCCCTGCCCCTTTCTCGCTGCCACCAGAGTATATCCCCCCAAATCCGGTCTCACTTCCCTGCTCAAAACCTCCATGGTCTTGAAGACGCCTGTGGGTTAAGAAAACAGGACAGATGCATGCAAAAAAGAAAGAAGGAAGGAAGGATTGAAGGAAGGAAGGGAGAGAGGGAAAGAGGGAGGAGGAAGGAGGAAAGAAAAAGGAAAGAAAGAACCAGATCACATTCTTACACCATATACAAGAGTAACTCAAAACGATTAAAAACTTAAATGTAAGACCTGAAGCCATAAAACTCTTAGAAGAAAACATAAGCAGTAATGCTCTGACACTGCTCTTAGTAATATTTGAAATATATATCTCAGGCTTATATACTGGAATACAAGGGGGAGGAAGAACAGATCTTGGGAGAAAGATATTGAACTCCGTTTGGGACACTTTACTCTCGAAGAGCTATGCACATTCAAGTGTTTACTCAGAAGCTGCAAATAAATCTGGGCTACCTGGGAAGGGAAACAAACAAACAAACAAAAAATGAGACTACATCAAACTAAAAAGTTTTGCACAGCAAAGGAAACCAACAACATTGAAAGAAAGACAACCTACTGAATAGGAAAAGATATTCGCCAACGATACATGCAATATGGGGTTAATATCTAAAATAAAGAATTCATATAATTTAACACCATAAAACAAACAATCCAATTAGAAAATGGGCAGAAGACTTGAATAGACACTTCTCCAAAGAGGACATACAGATGGCCAAGAGACATATGAAAAGATGCTCTATGTCACTAACCATCAGAGAGATGCCAATTAAAACCACAATGAGATACACCTCACACCTGTCAGAATGGTTACCACCAATGAATCAACAAACAGCAAGTGTCGGTGAGGATGCAGGGAAATAGGAACCTCATGCACTGGGGGAGAGGGGTATTGCAAACTGGTGCAGCCGCTATGGAAACCAGTGTGGAGGTGCCTCAAAAAAAGTAAAAATAGAACTACCTTATGACCCAGCAAGTCCACTTCTGGGTTTTTATCCAAAGAAATCCAAAACACGAATTCAAAAAGATACATGCACCCCTCTGCTCATTGCAGCACTGTTTACAACAGCCAAGACGTGGAAACAGCCTAAGTGCCCATCAACAGAGGACTGGGTGAAGAGGCTGCGGTGCATGTGTACAGTGGAATAGCACATGCCACAAAAGAGAATGAAACCTTACCATTTGCGATAACATGATGGACTAGAGAGTATTATGCTAAGTGAAATAAGTCAAACAGAGAAAGGCAAGTACCATATGACTTCACTAAATAACAACAACAGAAAACCAGGAAGACTCACAGATACAGAGAACAGACTGATGGTTGCCAGAGGGGAGGGGGGCTGGGGGGCTGGGGGGAAAAGGTGAAGGGAGTAAAAAGTACAAATTGGTAGTTACCAAATAGTTATGGGGCTGTAAAGTACAGTATAGGAAATATAGTTGATAATATTGCAATAACTATGTATGGTGCCAGATGGGTACTGGAAATATCAGGGGGGGGGGCACTTTGTGAAGTTTATGATTAGCTAACCACTATGCTGTCCACCTGAAATTAATACAAAATCATACTGAATGTAAATTATAATTGCAAAATAAAATTTTAAAAAGATAAAATGTTACCTCCTTAAAAAAAAACACAACACCCACTCCATTCAAAATTACTGCATTACACTCACAACAAAAGCACGCTAACAAAGAGGTCTTCAGAGCATTCGAAATAGGACTGAAAAAAAAAATCCACCTTCCCAAAGGTTTCTAAAGTTTAGACCAGCCACTGCACTAGCCAAGCCATGCGTTTAGCAAGGAAATGTTTTGGTTCTAACTGTCAACCCCCATTAGCCAAGGCAGCCCAGGCTTCCTGATCCTTGCTTCATGCTAGAAGGAGCCTCAAGGGCCAGACCCATATCTGGGGCCCCAGGGAATGCCCGGGGGAGCTGGTGCCAACCCTGTGAGGACTGGCAATGGTGTCCTGGTGGTGTTAAAGCTGAGTAACAAGCAAAGCAGCTGGCAGACAGCTCCGAGCCAAGCGCGCACCCCACAAAGCCCCTCCCACCTCTTCCTGCCCGCCTTTCCCTCCGCCCTTGGCTGGAAGGATCTCTCCAGAGAGAACCACACCTCCACTGCGAGGCACAGGGAATGCCGGGCAGGAAGGCCCCTCCCGGGAAGAGAGAATCTGAAGCCCCCACCTCCCCCAGCGTGCTCCGCAGTGGGATTAAGGACTGCAGCTCCCTGGGACCCAGTGCGGCCACTCACAAGTCATGGAAGCTGCGCAGGGAGGAGGCTGGGGTGAAGACATCCAGGAGCCCGATGACCTGGGGGAAGGTGGCCAGTGAGGGCTGGGCGGCCTGAGCCCTCTCACCACACCCCCCTGCCCCGGGGCCGCCAGGCAGGGGACCATCCACCCCTTCCTCACACACCACCTCCAGCAGGAGGCAGTGCCCCTGTCCTTGGAAGCAGTTAAGGGGTGGAGGCGGAAGAGGAAGCCCCTTAACTGGGGGATGGGGGGGCAGTGATGGAGAGTCAGGCTGGTGAGACGGAGAGGTGGATACTCCTTGCTCACTGCCCCCACGTGTGATGTTCAGGGCAGGCAGCACAAAACCACCCTCCCGGCGAGCAGGGACCCACGCATGGCGGAGGGAATCCAGGAAGGAACAGGGAAGGGGCCTGCCAGCCAGCAGGCTTCCTGCCCTTGACCTTGGGTCTCCTGACACTTCGATTCTTGCCTCCCAAGGGCTGGTTCAGAGCCAAGAGCAAGATCACCCTGGCAGGAGGCCACGGCGAGGGTTGCTGAAGAGGAAGGGGGCTGGAACTGTTATTTTAATGTCTGCTTTCCAATCCAGGTGTCCAGAGCAAAGCCTGGCGGCAGACCCAAGGCTGGGCCACTCGTTTTCTAGCTGCTTCTATCGGATAGGGCAGCCTAATGCACTGAGGCCCGGAGCCAGGCTGCCGGCATTCAAATCCCAGCTCTGCCACCCACTGACCATACATACAACCTGTGGATCTCTCGTGCCTCAGTTTCCCCATCTGTACATGGGAATTAACAGTACTTATCTCACGTGATACTGTGAGCATTAAGCGAGTTGGTTTATGCAACACTCTTAGAACGGTGCCTGGCACATACGTGCTCAATACTGTATGTACCTGTTGTTGTTGTTAGGGTCACATACGCAAACCCCGCGCCCCCGCTCTTGGATCGGGACCACGTTACAAAGTTCCTTTGTGCCCATGTCCTCCCCACCGGGCGGCAGGTCTGCACCTCAAAAGGTGGCTCTGCTCCACTGCCACACCCCCTTACACCCCTCCTGGGAAGTAGGCCGGGCAGGTCCTGCACCCCATGTCCATAATGAGGCGAGTGGCCAGGATCAGAGGGGCAGGAGGAGGTCCCCCTCCCCGGGCCCTGGACTGAGCTCTGGGCGGCCTGGGCCGCTCCGAGCGCAGGGGCAGGTCCCCTCCCGGTGGGCTACACACACACACACACACACACACACACACACGCACCCGCCGGCCTACGTTCTCATGCTGCATGTGCTTCAGCAGCAGCAGCTCCCGATAGGCCCGCTTGGCGAAGATCTCGGACTGGAAGGGCCGGCTCAGCTTCTTGATGGCCACCTTCTCCCCTGACCGCTTGTCGATGGCGGAGCTGCGGGGCACAGACAGGTCAGCAGGCAGCGCCTCCCCGCTGGGC